TATATTGACAGAGCTACTGATGTTAAATTTGTGCTACATGTATTATACTAACAGAACTACTACAGAATTTTTCCTTGTCAAAAACGTCGTAAATTATACCTGAAAATATTTGTTTAAAATATGCTATTTACACCTGTGTATCTAATTTGTTTAAAGTGTTAATTATAAACGGAGTGTACTAATTGTTAATTTAGCAGTTTGAAAATTTTTGGCATTGGGCCTTCTAAAGACTCAATATTTTTAATTGAAACCTTTAAACTACGTTGGGGTGATATTTCCCTAAAATTTGGTGTTAATTGTGTAAATCCAGTTAATACACATAATATTATAATAGTAAGATACACATAGAAAATATGAAAAACCTCTTACAATCGCTTTAAGGGGTTTGACATGTCGCTTAAAATCTTGTCATCTTATCTTATCTCCTGCCTCGTTCTGCCTAAACTATCCACAAAAGGAGATAACTGTAACTACAGGTGAGGATTTGGAAGTAAAATGTTCAGCTAAGTGTAAAAGTGTGACTTTACATGGGGAAAGGAGTTGGAAGGTCTGGAATCAAATGGTTCAATTTCCATAACAGAGGATATGTTTGGAAATAGTTCTCACGAAGGTCTTTATGTCTGTCTGGTCCACAACACTCATGGAGAAGTTACAAGTATGTACTTGGTAATACCAGATTTATTTTTACAGTGAAATGATTTTGCCCCTCTGGTGTGAGGGGTGGGGGACTGCACACTGCCCTAATACAAATAAGAAAGTAAGAATCGCTGGCACAGCACAAAAAATAGATGCAAATAAAAACGATTTAAGTGTAATCGATATACACCTCAACTGGGTCTCTACCCTTTATCTCTATAAAAACTGGTTTTCTTTTCAGAAATTAACAACACAGAACTGACGTATGTGATTTTTGCTGTTACATTTGTTATTGTTTTTATTATTGCTGTTGGCTGTATGGTTATACTGTACAAGAAATACCATAGTGAGTAACTTGCATTTTACAAATAGGTCTGACATTGCCTGCTTTAACATGTCTCTTTAGAACAGGTTTCATACACCCATCTTCTGAGCGACAGGACATTTCATTGGCTAGTTATTTTAAGCAACAAAAATCATGACATAGTCACCACAGTTTACGTAGTATAACTGTTATCGTATAATTGCGAGTATACTGCGCTGGCTTGTATAATACGCACCACCTTGAATCATTATTTGGGTCAAACAAAGGGAAAGTAACTTGTTAGCACTGGATACCCTGTGTTCTACCTACAAAATCCAACAATTACTAGCTGTACATGATTGTTCTTTTTAGACAAGAAA